GAGCTGCCCCATCTCCAAGGTGGGGGTTGAAATGGAACTGTCAGGCCAGAATAAACTGGAGGGAGGAGTTGGCCTCTAAGGAGCATGCTTTCTGGATCTCCCTCCCTCCTCATTTCCCCTTCAGGCCCAAAGGGCTCCAGGGCTCTGAATAATCTGGACCCAGGCCAGTGATCTTAAGAGCTTGAAGGAAATGTAGAGAGTGATTTTAATTAGTTCTCACTAGGCCAGTAGAGTATATTCAACAGGGTGTTTCCCTGCCCCCCCCAATATCCTACCAAGTTTCCGTTCTTTCTTACCTATCTCTTCTATTTTCAGAGGAAAGGATGAGTTGAGCTTCAGTGGGATAATTCAGTTTCTATTAAATACAGGGGAAACAGGCTCAGAGAGGTCAGGTGATTCACCTAAGTGCTCAAAGGAGGTCCTTGGTAGAGTAAACTCAAGCATCCTGACTTCCTGTGAAATTCTTTTCTCAAGTAATCTGATCTATTTCTTTTCCAAAGAAGAGAAAGACAGTGGATGAGGTTCTGATGGTCAGTCTTTGAGCTAAAGTTTGCAGTTATTTGAGCCTCCCTCTTATTCAGTGACTGAACATTAAATATTTTGTATCTTTAATTCCTGTCCCACCCAGGTCATGCTCTGATTATATGAAGCATTTTGAGAGCCAGGGAAATATCAAAACCTGAAGCATCTGGGATACTGTGGTTGAGTCATACTATGGAAGTCGTGCAAAGAAGTCCTTGGAGCCAGAATTGAGTTACCAAGGAAAAAAAATCATCTGGTACAACTGCAGGAGGTGCCAGTCTCTTGGACTACAATGAGAATGTGCTCCCAGAGTTATGCAATGAGGCTGTCCTGTCAAAAACAAACTTCATTTTGATACCACATGTACTCTGAGGGTCTTCCCAGAATACTTTGATTCATAATAGTTTTATTCCCTGGCAGCAAGACCTATGTTCTTGATGTCAGGTGGGTCTGCTGGTGCAATATAGGGGAATGGATGCTGAAGGATGTCTGCTTCTGTCACATCAAGATTAAAAAAAAAAATAAGAAGATAAGAAGGTAATCAAAAAATGTCTTTTCTGGATGGGCATGGTGACACACACTTGTAATCCCAGTGACTTGGGAGGCTAAGGCAGGTGGATCACAAGTTCAAAGCCAGCCTCAGCAATTTAGCAAGGCCCTAAGTAACTTAGTGAGACCCTGTGTCAAAATAAAAAATTACAAGGGCTGGGGATGTAGCTCAGTGGCTAAGTACCTCTGGGCTCGATCCTCAGTAACAAACACACAAATGCAAACAAAAAAGGTCTTGTGTGAATATATAAAGCAGGAATTTTTAAATTGAATCTTTAGCCATGTGCCAGGTAGCATTCTAAGTACTTTTAATATTTGTCATTCAGTATTCAACATCTTCCATTTTATACTTGGAGAAATGAAAGCACAGCAGTGGAATTCTTTTCTCAAGACTAGCATGAAATCACCCAGGTAATACAAGGGGACCATGCTGAAAGTTAAATCATAGTTCAGACCTTTTCCCTTCACAGGGTTACATCAGGAACTTGAAATATTTGCCTTCAAGACTTCTTGTCCATCTTCCCTTAGCACAAAAGGAGGAGAAGACTTTGAGTCCAACACAGCTCTCCTCTTCCACAGGTGAGCAAAGTGAGACCAGAAAAAGGGAGGGGTCTCTGCCAGATGACCTAAAGTGTTCTCAGCAGTCAAAGGCAATCTCTACCTATCTCTAGCCCCATACACCAACAGGGATCAAGCAAGATAGGAGTATAAGATATGGTCAGATTGGGGACTTTTGAAAGGAAAGGAAACATATGTATGCAAATAATGATAATAAATGGCTGGGCGTGGTGATGCACACCTGTAATCCCAGTGACTCCAGAGGCTGAGGCAAGAGTATTGCAAGTTCAAGGTGGGCCTCAGCAATTTAGTGAAGCACTAAGCAACTTAGTTGGGACCCTGTGTCAAAATAAAAAATAAAAAGGGCTGGGGATGTAGCTCGGTGGAAGAGTGCCCCTGGTTCAATCCCCAGTACCAATAATAACAATAATAACAATGTTAATAATTGGGATAAGGACATAAATCAGTGACAGAGTGCTTGCCAAGCACATGTGAGGCCCTAGGATGGATCCCTAACACCAATAATAACAATAATAATTGTTGCTATTACAGCTCACATTTACTTATTAAGGTACATTCCAAGTATTTTACACATATGAACTTATTTAATCATAGCATTAGCCCTGTGAAATGGATACCAACATTATCCTCATTTTTACAGATAATTAAACTGGGCACAGGGAATTAAGTAACTTGCCTATGACCATAAGGCTAATAAGAGGGCTTAGATTTGAACTATAGGTATTCTAAACATTTTCCCCAATTCCTTGGTCCTCCTCTCTGGTTAGTCTTGATACCTTTCATCTCAGTCATCAGAAGTCTCTGAGCCTCTGCATCTGCACTCTTTCTTCTACCCCATCCCACTAACTCCTGACCAGCAGCCCATGACACAGACACAAGGAATGTGTCTAGGAACTTCTGGGTTTAAGAAATCTCTTTCTCTCTGGTTAAGGAGATCAAAGGACCTCACATTGAGAGAACAAACGCTGAGGGAAAAGGCAAATGAAAGAGAAGTTCACACTTGGGGCTGAGAAACAGATGGTGTGGTGAGTTGGGAGAAGTAGAGCCTGATTATCCCCCAAACCTGGCATCCAGGGGTTAAGGGCAGTGTTCCTTAGGAAACCTGACAAACGTTCAACCAGCCCTAAGAATTCTCCTTCTCATGAAGAACTAAGAAAGAAAAAGAAAAATCCTCTAAAGATTTTTATTTTCAAACTGGAGATTTTTTTTTTCAGATCTGGTAATGGAAGTATGGGAGTGGAGGCTTTGAATTTTTACAAATATAAAGTATGTATCTGAAAAGGCAGGGAAGAGTGTATGAGTGAAGCATTCTGGCATCTGTTCTGGAAAGTTCAATGAAGATCTTCTATTTGGGTCAATAGGAGCAAATGGTGTTTTTGTTTGTCTGTTTATCATCCTCTTCTTTGTCATTTATGGTAGAAAAATATGCAGTGAGCTTTTCTTGCTCCAAATAAAAGTCTTCCTGTAGATCTACTGGGGGGGGGGGGTGTACCAGATTGGAAGTGTGATTCAAGCAGGAGAGTGCAAAATCAGGAAGACACCTGAATCTCTACATGTAAAGAGATGGAAGGCTGATTCATTGTGGGTTGTGTCCAGCTTGTCTCTGGGATAATGAAGAATTGATTTGCCCCTCAACCTTCCCTGGAGGAATCTGATGTTTCCTTCTGCTATGACCAAAATTCAAATGCACCAGCCTTCTCCTTTTTCTACTGAACCCTCCATTTGCCCCCTCAGTCAGGACCTGTCATTCCCAGTCTGTGACCCGAGATCACCATCCTTATGATCCAGTTTTGCTCTAACCACTGCTCCTTCCTCCACCTGCCTTTCTGCCCACCTGTCCAAAGTGGATGAAGTTTATAGGATCTACAAACACCCCAACCAGAAGGTTCTACCAGTTCATATTACTGGCTCCAAGCAAGGGAAGTTTTGCTTCCAAAGACACTTGCTCTGTCCCTCTGCCAAGGTGACCCTTTTAGGGAAGCCAAGCTTGGTGGCTACTTCTATTAAATGCAGAAAAAAAAAGTTAATAGAGGCTTTTTTTTTTTTTTTTTTTTTTTTTAAGACAGAGGGCAAGAAAGCAGCCTCCGAGAAAACTAAACTTCCTCTTGCAAAACTCTTCTCTTCCTCTCCAGCTGGGCTGTGCAATTATTGATAATGCTGACACCAATTTCATGAGGAAGTAAATGCTTGGCGTTGCTTATATACACTCCACATACACGTTTCTCTCTGCCACTCTGCCTCTCTTCCTTTCAAAGGTCGCGAATTTAAACAGATGGTGGGGGGCACTAGATAAGACGCCTGAGCCTTAGTCACTCCTGCAGCCCAGCAGTGCTATCCTGGCCCTGGGTAGTACAGAGGCTCCCAGGGTGACCGGAATCAATAAACCCGGGCCTGGAGCCCAGAGGCCCTCGTCATCTCCAAGGCACCGCCAGGCGAGTGAGCGATGGCGGTTTGTTGGCCGCTGCAGAGTTTCCTGAGGCTCCCCGCCTCCGCCCACCAAAGGTTTGCGGGTGGGACCAGCCCAGAGACAATAGCAGCCCCCGCGGGCGCGCTGCTGGCTTGTTTGGCCAGCCCAGAGGCGCATCGAGGTAAAAAGGTCAGCGCCGGTCCGGCTTACCTCGGCGACCTTCCCCCACCTCATCTCGGGCCACCTCCCCTTGGCCCGCACCCCATCCCACGCGGCCCTTTCGTGGCCACCTCCTTCCTGCTCTCCAACGCCTGAGACGGAGGGCGTTCACCTTGAGCCCCGACAGAAAGGCATTTGAAGGCTTGAAGGCGAGCTGGCTGTGACCGGTCTCTAGTGACCGCTGGGACTCCCAAAATCCGGTTGAATCGCTGTTAGGAAAGGCACTGGTTTGAGGGGAGGGTATTTATTTGTGTGCCAGTCGGGAATTGTTCAGCGACCCATCCTGTCGCTGAGCAAGAATAAGAGGGAAGGCATCACACCACCCCATCCCTATCCTGCTTCACTTCTTCAGCTAAGCTCTCCTGGGGGTCCACTGTCTGCCAGGCCCAAGTCTGGACAGGAGGGAGTTCAGGAAAGGGAAAAGGTACTGTTTCCTCTGCTTTCCCCCACATTTCCTCCTCCTCTTACTCCATCTTTTTGTCCTCTGCAAACAGATCTGTTCTCTATTCCTCCCCTTCTCTCAAGAACATCTCAGTACTGTCTCACCTCTTGGCTTCCTCCATTTTTCCTGGTTCTCCCAATCACCAGTGCACTAACCATTGCTCTAGGTGCCTGAGGCCCAATTCACCTTAAGCTCACCTCCAGTAAGTCCTTCTCTGTATCCAACTGAGATAAACCTCAACTCTTTCCTCACCTTTTAAGTGTAAGGGAAGCCAGAAGGAAGCAGAGAAAACACAGACTTTATTGAAATGAGGTAGTTGGAGGTACAGAGAGAACCTGGCTTGTTTGGGGCTCAGTTTTCCAGAAACTTAAATGGTGTCTCCACTGTCTCCAAGGTTCAGAGAAATGAATGTCTCCAAAGTTCAGAGAAATGTTTGAAGTTGCTGGGAGCTCTCACTATACCTGAGCCTCCCTGGGGTAAAGAGGTATGCCTCCAAGTGGGGGAAGGCCCCCAGGGGTAGGAATGGAGATGGGGTCGAGATTCCTGGGTTTTCCAGGAGACAATAAATAGGGGGAATGTAGTAGGGTCATGCCTGTGCCTTCCTAGTTGAGGCTTGCTGAGAGCAGGCCTTGCACAGTATTCCAGAAGTCTCTGGCATACCAAGTTTCAAAACACTTTGGTGATTTAGTAATGAGGTCATTAATAGGAGGAGGCAGGTCTCAGAAAACAACCTCTGGAGGCTGTGTTAGTGCAATACAAATGTGCCAGGAAAGGGTTAATAGGGTTAGATGGGGAGCTTTTTGGTCTTTCACAAGGGAGCTGATGCTATTGTAGTTTTGGGGTAACTGTATTAAGGACTGAGACTTAGGGTTGCTGATAATAATACATCTGCACTCAAATACCACCTACATAAGAAAATCCAAGGCCTTCTCTCTATCCCAGGCCTAGAAAGAGGAGTCAGGATAAGAGTGCATGAGGAGCATCCTCAAAGCTTAAAGGCACTGAACTGAATAGCCAAAAGTTGGAAGGGAAAGGAGAACCCAGGAGGATGGGCTCTCATCCTCATTCTTGCCATTGCGTGGATCCCCAGGTCAAAGGCAGGGGAAAGCCCATCCAGTCCCTCCACCTTTGACAGGTTGGGTATTTCTCAGGCCCCCAGTCCTGTAGGATCCCCAAGCCATCAATCTACTCTCTTCCCAGATCTGAGAAAAATCTTCCCCCAGTCCCCATCCCCATCTAAACTGGTGTCCCAGACTTGGCAAGGATCACCAGGGCAGTGAAGTTGGGGAAGGACAGAGGAGGACTGGACTAGGGCTCTACAGTGCTGGAAGCCCCGCGGGTTGAAAAGTTCAGTTCAGGAGGTGATGGAGCTGGGTGAGGCTTCCGGGGAGGTGCCTGTCGACTGGTCCGAGGCATCTCCCGCTGCCTCCTTGGGGCAACCTGGAGGAGCTGGCGGCACTCGGCTTCCCTCCCGTTCGCGCTTCTTCTGCTTCATGCGCCGGTTCTGGAACCAAATCTTGACTTGCGTTTCATTGAGCTCCAGGGTGGCAGCGATTTCCACCCTCCGGGCCCGGCTCAGGTACTTGTTGAAATGGAACTCCTTCTCCAGCTCAGTCAGCTGCCGCGTGGTGAAGTTGGTGCGGAGGCCGCCGGTCGCGCCCAGTCCCAGCTCCGACACCTTCGCTAGGGGCGGGGCGGGAAGAAAGGCCACGTCAGTTCTCTCACCTCTCTCCCTCCCCTCCGCTCCTCCCAAAGTAGCTGTGCACCCTCAGTCAGCATTCTGTCCCTAGTTCTCAAAGTCCCTACGGATCACCAGGCAGCCTGGTGGTGATCTTCAAATGCGGAGCAACCTTTCCCATACTTCCACCCCCAGCCCAACGCAGCGGATCCTGGGCCCCCATATTGGGCGAACAGATCAGCAAGTGGGATGTGTATGGAGACCTACTCTTGGGGGTGGCCCTGCACTTGCTAGATGGAAAGATCTCACCTGATCTGGCGGAGTACGCTTACCTGCCTCTACCAGAACGGCTGAGAGAAAAGAACCCATCCCAGGAACAAGACACCTCAGTGCAGGGACAGCTAAGCTGCCTCGGCCCGGGAAAGGGGGGTGGCCACGTCTGAGCCCTACCTGTCTTGGGTGGGTTCCTCTTAACCTTCATCCAGTCGAAGGTCCGGGCCGTGGGGGTACTGGGTTCTGACGCGCAAGATGATGATTCCTTGTCCTCGGAGAGGAGATCAGCGTAGGCCGGTGCAAAGCTCGCGGTCTGCTCGTTCCCATAAGGGGGCTGTGGCGGAGGGTATGGCCCAGGGCCGGCTCCACCCGCTCCGTAGCCGTCGGGCAAGCCCCCTAGCTGGGCAGCGTAGTTGGATGGATGAAAATAGCCTCCATCTCCTTCCAAAGGGTAATATTGAGAAGGCCCATAGCTGGGACTGCAGGAGGCCGGGGCATACCCTGAGGGCGCGGAGCTGGGAAAGGACACCCCCAGCGCTGAAGGCGGTTGCTGGGCGGGATAGCCCGAGTTCTGCTGCAGCACAGGGCTGGGCAGCCCCCCACCATAGCGGCCCTCGCCTGCGTAGCTGTCAATGGCAGGAGCCGAACTGGTGGGGAAGGAGGTTAGGGCGTTGTGGGCGCTGTAGGCGTTGGGTCCCCGGTTACAGAGTGGGTACTCTAGGAAGGAGTTCATCCTATTATAGTCCATGCGTGGAGGCCGCAGGAGGGTCGGCCCTTTTCGGGGAGACACCCTCTTGCCCTACAACCTTTCGGCAGTATGTCACAGCGATGAGGCTTGCATCCATGGCCTGGGCCAGATCGCCTGGGCCAGAGCTCCCCTAGGAAAGGGGTAGGGAGTGGGGGTAGGGGGGCACATGTGATCTCTCCCAGGCCAATGGGCAAAGAGGGCCAGAGTTTGGCAGCCCCAGCGCCCATCCATCAGCCCCCAAGCATTAGCATGACAAAGACACTTCAATCACCGGCAGCCCATCCATCTGAGAGCGACATGGAAGCGTCAAAAACATCTTTCTTCAAAGACTTTTGGAAAGAAGGGACCAGAGGGAGTGGGGGGGAAAGTTTGAAGAATATTCAAGACTTTTCTCCCCTCCCAACCCCCAAGGCCTTCAATAGGCTCTGGGTTATTAGATTTGGACAAATTCAACCCAGCTGCCCCTCGATCTTCCCACCCCTAAAAGAAGCCTCCCCCAAGGCTGTAGACCTGGAGGTGGAGAACCTAGCTTCTTTACTTTGCCCAGAATTCCCACTCTGGTTTTGTTTCTCCTAATTTGTCTTGGGGTGATGAGCTAGGACAGTGGGGTGAGGTATGTTATCTTGGGCCAAATGGATGACTGTGAAGAGGGGGTGGGGTGGGGCAGAAAAACACCTAAGGGTGTGAGGCAGGGTCTAGAATCCAGAGAAATAATTCATTAAACGAGGGGTGGGAAAATGGCATTTCAAGGGAGCAAGCCAGGGATATAGAAATGTGGGGAGGAGGATGAAAAACGCCCCATGCCTCTCTCCATCTCTCTGCATAAATGCTCTCTCCTCATTCACGCATCCATTTCTCTCCCTCAGCCTCTCTTTATATTCTCTCTGTCTCAATCCATCTCTCTGTTCGTCCATCTCTCTCCATATTTATATTCGTTCCCTACCTATCCATCAACTCATCTTGCTAGATGTATTTATCCTCTCTCTAGCCATCCATAGCTGTAGCTGGCTCACTCACTCAGACTTAAATAACTCCCTATATCTCTCCAGAGAACCAGAATGAGCAGAGCTAGGTGATGTTTACAGGGGGGTGAAAAGGAGGGGGATTTTTATTTTCTTTCCAAAATGTTTAAAACTAGTGGAGGCCCTGAACTCTGGTTCCCTCCTACCCCTTCTCTCCTTCACCACCCTCCATGTCCTTAAAAAAAAAAAAAAAATCCCTAGCCACAAATCTATAAATTCAATACCAATTAAGTGTTGAAGATTACTCAAATTTCCATGAATGTTCTAGAATACATAAAGGAAGTTTCCTCAGAGAATGAGAAAATTAGTGCAGAGTTCCTGAGACTACTTTGACTTCTTTTTTTTTTTTTTTTAATACCAGAGATTGAACCCAGGGGCACTCTATCCTTGAGCTAAATCTCCAGCCCTTTTAATTTTTATTTTGAAACAGGATCTCACTAAGTTGATTAGGGCCTTGCTAAATTGCTGAGGCTGGCCTCAAACTCATGATCCTCTTTCTTCAGTCTCCTGGGTTGTTGGGATTACAGGCATGCCACTGTGCCCAGCTGGGACTCTCAATTCTGAGGGTAAGGAGTGGAGCCTCACCTCTTTCTGCTAGGTATGTCTGCTGCATTAGGGTTGGCGAAAAACAACAGGAAGTGTCTTGCTTGCTCTCTAGGACCCTGGATGAAACTAGAAGAGCTCTTAAGTAGACATTAAGTAGACAAACGTTGATTCTCCTTCTCCTCCTCCAGACTCTGAGGACAAGAGCTTAGAGCAATCCAACACCCACACTCATTTGTAACCTGTCAGGGTGTCTGCCTGACCAGAGTCCTGGGGCCAGAGCTAGGGCAAGTCCAGGAGGGCAAGAGTTCAGGGAGAGATCTCTGTAAACAAGTGAGCTCAGGAGAGGAAGGGGAAGCAGGTGGTACAGGCCCACAGAGGACCTTCAAAATGTCTCAGGTTTCCCCACCCCCTAAAGGGCAGGTATGCACTCATTCCTCCACAAAGGACTCCAAATTTGTCTCTCTCAATCTCTGTGTCTCCATCTTCTGGCTCCCATTCCTCCTTCTTGTCCTTACACTGTCCCTATAGTTGCCCCTCCTGCTTTCTACTCGGTATCTCCAGAATCACACTGTGAGCTCCCTTAGCCCCCAACTAGGAAGGAGCTCAAAGCACTTCACAGAATTCCAGTCCCCCTTCCCATTTCACAGGTGTTCTTCCTCAGACACAGACAAGTTGTGGGCAGGGGATCCCACTCATAACTTCTTTAAGAGAGATGCAGTGGGGGAAGGTGAGAGAATGTTCACATGTCAAAGGGATGAGGGCAGACAAAAGAAAGAATTGAGATGGGGAGAGTGGTGTACAGAAGAATTGAAGAGAAAAGGATTACTGAGATAGGAGCAAGCAGATTTCTTTCTATTCCACCTCTCTGGGAGATAGTTTGTAGTTAATCCTGAAGTTTTCTTATTTATTTATTTATTCACTTACTTAATTACTTTTGTAAATACTGGTGATAGAACCCAGAGGCATTTTTACGACCGAGCTATATCCTTTTTATTTCTTGTTTTCTAATTTTGAGACAGGGTCCCAGACTCACTAAATTGCTCAAGGCCTCACTAAATTGTTGAGGCTGCCCTCAAACTTGGAATCCTTCTGCCTCCGCCTCTGGAATCTCTGGAATTACAGGATTGTGATATACCACCCAGTCTTTCTCTCTCTCTCCTGAGACCTCAGGTGTAGGGAACTAAGGTTTGTCTTCTAACCTCAAATCTGAGCAAGGCCTATATCTGACCTGGTTGCCCTGTTTCTGAGAGATGAAACTTCCCTCTCCATCTTTCCTTCATCCCAGGGAGAACCTTCTCACCCCATCCCTTGCCCTCCTAATTAAGGGACCAATTTGAGTCTAAAGGAAAAAATAAATTCCAAATCTGTTTGATAAAAATATGCAAATCTGTCTGGGAGTTGAGGAAATGCACTCCTCCTATAGCAGCTGAAGTCACCAACAATCTGTCATTATTAACAGCAAGAAAAGAGGGGGGCTGGGGTATAGTTCTGTGGACAGTATCCACCTAGCATGCATGAGGCCCTGAATTTGATCCCTAGTACTAAAGAATGAAAAGAGAAAGGAAGAAACGGGGAAAGGAAGGAAGAAAGGAAAGGAGGGAGGAAGGGAGGGGAGAAAGAAAATAAAAGTACCTCAAATTATAGTGGCAGTGATTACTTCGGTCTCCGTTCTCCAAATTCCCTATGCCCTCCAATTTATCCCTGAGTCTCACCACCTTCCTTCTTATTGCAGGTATTAAAACTTTCCAAAATCTCTATTGACTTTCCCAGCACCATCTCAAGGGACTGAGAGGACTGAGGATATAGCTCAGGTGGTAGAGTACCTGCTTAGCATGAATGAGGTCCTGGGTTCAATCCCTACTGCCCCCCCCAAAAAAAACTGTGAGAACCAAACAGATCAGGTCCCCAAGTCTCCTAAAGTTGATTTCCTTGTTTGTATGATAAGTTTACACATATACATAGAGAATATAGGCATATTTATTTATTTTTTAGATGTAGATGGACACAACACAATGCCTTTATTTTTATGTAGTGCTGAGGATCGAACCCAGGTCCTGCCTGTGCTAGGTGAGCGCTCTACGCTGAGTCACAATCCCAGCCCAACATAGGCATATTTAGAACTGAAATTATCTTGGAGAATTATTGGTCCTTATGCTAAAAATAGAGACAGAGGAAACCATTCCGATCAAAATAGGGATATGTTAGAAGTTTGCACCTAGATTTTGCCAGCTACTCTTCCAGGTGAATGAGGCAGGAGGACTGCAAGTTCAAGTCCAGCCTGGAGACCCAGTCTCAAAATAAAAAACAAAAAACAACTGGGGACCTGGGGATGTAGTTCAGTGGTAAAGCCCCCCTGGATTCAATCCTCAGTACAGAGGGAGTGGAGGAAGAAGTTTACACCTTTTTGCTCCTTTCTGTGGAGGCAGCTCTTAGGTTGGGAGGTTGGCAGGAACAATCTAACAGTTCTTTCATTAGGCCTCAAGATTCTCTATCTGCTCTCCCTAGTTTAAATTTGGGGAGGCCAAACCCAAGATCAAAAGTTGGAGTTTCAAAACTAGAAGGATATCCAGAGTTACAATTTTTCCCAAGAGATGGCTTATTGTTGCTGTTTGGGAGAAAATAGGATCTGAATTCACTATTGTTTCTTTTCATGTCAGACAATTGAACTGTCATGAATCTGGTTTAGGATCTCAGAATATGAATAGCGCATATTGTAATGACATGACTACTAGGTTTGTGGACAGAATACTTGGGTTCAAGTCCTTGTTTGGCCATTTCTTAACATTATGACCCTCGAAAAGTTCCTTCCTTCCCTTTCCTTCTCTTTTCTCTCTCTCCCTCTTCCTCCACCCCGACTCTCTGACTGAACCCAGGGAAGCTCACATAAACTAGGCAAATGTTCTTCCACTGATCTATGCCCTCAATGCTAAATAAGCTTACTTTTTTAAAAAAAAAAAAACTATTTTTTAGTTATAGGTGGACACAATATCTTTATTATTTTTTAAAATTTTTATGTGGTGCTGAAGATCGAACTTCGTGCCTCACGCATGCTAGGCAAGCACTCTACCTCTGAGCCACAACCCCAGCCCTAAACAAATTTCTTGACTTCTCTGAGTCTTAGCCTCTTAGAAGAAGAATGGATTTAATACTACTTACTTTCCTGCATTGTTAGTAGAATTAAAGCAAACAAGAAAATATAAACCATAGAAAACTCTATAGATGTATGATACTAACATTATATGCACATTCCAAAATAGTGTGAGTCAGTCTTCTGTTTTTTAATATAACTAGTGTATTAAAATATGGTAATATGCAATAGGAGAATAGTATATTTGCTATTCTTTTATGCAACATATCGCCATATACTATACAACATGTACTTTATCATATGCAAATTTCATTGAGGATGGAGTGGATTGGCTTATTTGGGCAAAGAATTTTCTTCTAAGCTGAAGAATTTTTTTGAAAACTTAAGCCTAATATTTATGCCTATAAAGACACCCAAATTATTAAAACTATACCAGAAAGGTTTACAGTTGAATATATTAGAAATAACTGCCGGGCTAATATATTAGAAATAACTTTCCTTATTTTCCTAATATTTGGGTAAAGTTGGCTAGGGAAGAAGTTGTCTCTTTTTCCTGAGGCTTAATGTCTGTTCCAGAGGGGGAAAGGGTTGAACCTGACTTCTAAGACCTGAAAAAACGATTGGAGGCATTATTAAATAATGATTGGAATTTTTTTTTTTCAGTGCTAAGGATTGAACTCAGAACCTCCCTCACACATGCAAGGCAAGTGCTGTACCACTTTGAGCTACATTCACTACCCTGATTGGGATCTAAAAGAAAAGATTAGAGTGACATGAAGATTTGAAATAATTTTCCA